AATGCTTTTGTTTTGAATTCTTTAAAAAAAATTGATAGGCTGAGATTTTGAAGGTTGGGCATTAGAGGTAACCAGAAGAAACTAAAGATTACAATTAAAGGAGAAAAACACTTAAATTTGACTAATCCAGAATGAACAAAATATTTTAACACTGGACATATTGAAGAATATTTTTGAACAATGGACACAGAAGTTAATTTTAAGAGTGTCTGCCTCTATAGATAGACTGCGTTTAAAAGATATTATTGAAGAGGAACAAGCTTTACTGTTAGCAAAATCTGAGAGTTTCTGACTCTCCCCAATTAGGATTCAGTCCGGCAGAAGATCAGACACGAAAACAAATCTGAGAGTTTCTGACTCTCCCCAATTAGGATTCAGTCCGGCAGAAGATCAGACACGAAAACAAATCTGAGAGTTTCTGACTCTCCCCAATTAGGATTCAGTCCGGCAGAAGATCAGACACGAAAACACCAGCTGAGATTTTAAAGCTTTATTGAAAGCAGGCCAATAGAGTCAGCTGGGGTCTCCCCTCAAGGCAGAGAAGAACCCCGATCACACCCAAAGAAGATGATTTTTTATACATGTTTCTTACACAGAGACACAGCAATTAACAAACTGATTGGCTAAAATTGGCATAAATTTGGGATCCTCCTTATTATTGGGGGAAACTGATCTTCCTGATGATCTATTGGTTGCTAGTCAAAGTTTGGGGCACCCCCTTTGATCTTCTGATATTTATTGTTTCATGGAATGCAGAGGTATCGGCATAGCAGCTAGAGGGTGTTTTGAAGGCTAGCAGATTGGGGTCACTTCCTCCCATATCTTTATGGCCTCGACACTTAAGGAGACAGGATGTCTGCCCAATGTCTTTCAACAATAACAGAAATGAAGGAAATGTGTGAAGGTTCATGAACATCAGTTTCCTTGCCATCCCTTTGGCTTTCAAATGACACTTAAGGAGACAGGATGTCTGCCCAATGTCTTTCAACAATAACAGAAATGAAGGAAATGTGTGAAGGTTCATGAACATCAGTTTCCTTGCCATCCCTTTGGCTTTCAAATGTAAGGAAATAAAGATGAGAGAAACTGAGAGCCCTTTTTCATAAGGTTTCATTACCTGACAAGATTGAGACTGATCTGAAAGCAGATTTAAAAATGACAGGCTACAAGTATGATATGGAAAAAGATGCTACACTGGACATGCAAAAGAAGCTGACTGATGTCTTAATAATTAAAAGGGATATACAAATAACAAACCAAAAGAGTGTCCTGGATTACTTTTTTATATTAGATTTACAAAAGAGGCTTGTTAAACCTTTGAAGAATTTTGTGAGAGGGACAAAGAAAAAATGAAAAGAAATCAAGTTCTAGGACATTATTTGAAGGGACTAAAGATCAAGATGGTTAAGTAAAAGGAAGGAATATAAAGCTGGTTTATTTGATCACGGTTAAAATAGCTATGTTGTTATCTCTGG